ACCAGGAGAAACTATTGCAATTGTTTTGTGATAACTATTCTGTGTGTATGGATTGCAAAAAAGTATTTAAGGCTCTGCAGAATATTATGTTGCCCACTTCACCTCGGCCCACTTTTAGGATTTAATCTACTAGAATACACGTTAGAAATGAAGAGAGGGAGATTAGGACCATTAATCTTTAATTAATGTTTTTCACCAACAAGTCACAGCTCAGTGAGATGCTACTTTAACATCTAGTAGTACTAGCTGTGCCCACTTGTCCACAATACCCAAACATTGGGCAGGGATTTCTTTGTCCTTTCAGTTTTAATGCTTGCTCTGATGTTGTGTGTGCCTGCAGCTCCTGCAGTCTCTGTCAGTGTGTGACTCAAAGCTGAAGGCAGGGATGCATATCCTGCTCAGCGCTCTGGGAGGCCATGCCACTCTGGTTGAGCTGGACATCAGCGGAAACAACATTGGAGACACTGGAGCCAAAATGCTGGCTAAAGCCCTGATGACCAACACCAGCCTGAGGTGCAGAGCTACACAAAATAACATGAACACCACAGTTTATTAGCCTTAGCAAACACCAAAATAGCTTTAACTCAGTCAGTTTTACAAACATCAAGCTAAGTTGCAGTGTGGCAAGTTTGTGTTTAAGACTCCTGGAATCGTTACCTCCGCCAAGGGCGAGGTAATGTTTTCGGTTGCGTATGTCGGTCTGTCTGTCGTTCTGTCTGTGGACAGCATTACTCAAGAACTCGTGGACGGATTGTCATGACATTTACATCACATGTGGAAACTCGCTCAAGTAACACACCATTAGATTTTGGTGATGTTCTGGATCGCAATGCGGAAACAGGAAATTTTTTTCTATTAGTCCTCTGAGATCGGCAAAGCTGTGATGCTTTCACAGGGCTTCTGTAAAAAAAACAGTGAGAGCTTTCAGTGTTCATTTGAACTGGATTACACAGCACAGACTTCAAACTTTATAAAAGTGACGTTAAAACAAGATGTAATGATGAATAAGTCTTGCCATAATGTGCGCATTTTTACGCATTTGGTGCACATTTAGAGAACGTCTTCTAACCAGGAAGGGCGTGACTGCACCATGACACCTATTTTCCCCATTTCCTCAAACACACCACATTGTTGGTAGGCTACACAGATTGATGAAGAATGAGGAAGAGGAGTGATGCGCTCAGGTGTGGTGGACTTCAGACTCAGAGGTTGTTTGTTTGTTTGTTCATTTTTATTATTTAAATGAGACCAGGGGCGAGGTAATGTTTCGGTCACGCTGACCCACTTGCTTCCAGAGCGATGGTACTACGAAGCAGTTTGTAAAGAGAGTCAAACCATTACAAACTCATACAAGGGGATAAAACAGACGTTTTACATGGTGAAATGTGACTGATGAAAACTTAGCAGCTTAATCCGACACCAGTTTGACGATGATTAACGTTGGGTGACGAATCTGACTTTTTTTTATTCCATATTGGACTCCACCGGGCACTCGCCGAGTGCTTCTAGTTCAGAAATGTTTCACACCTGATTATTTTTAGAGTTAACTGAATTCAAGAGGTCCACCTCAGAAAATCAACCGTAGTAAAAAAAAAAGGTCTACAATTCAGTCAGTTTACAGATTCTCAGCTGACATGGCAATTGCCCGCAATCACACACATTATTTCAAGAACTGACCAAAAAATCTAAAATGCACATCATTTTTCAAAATAAAATCCTCCTTTATATGGAATGTAAAGGGTCAAGTGTTATGCCTTCTGTCAGGGAATGATAATCACTTGATTTATTTTCAAATGCTTTTAATGGAACTTCTTGATTTCCACAGCCTAATATTGCTGCTGTAGCAATAAAACTTTCTGAGCCTGACGTCGGTTCTTTCTCTGTCTTTGAAGGTCTTTATCGTGGGACAGAAACAACGTGACTTCCAGGGGTTACCAGGACGTGGCAGATGCCATGAAGAGGTCTGTCTAACACACACACACACACACACACACACACACACACACACACACACACAC